TGTTCGTACGAACCCTTTGTACGAACAAAAGTAAGAGAAATTTAGGAGAAGAATACGAACATGTTCTTACAGGAGGCCCATTAGTTTTGTTTATCTGCCTGTTAGTTTTTAGTGAAGCGTCTGTTCTGATGATGACTGCCCATTGAAATACACAGGGCAGAGTTGTACAGTAACTAAGTAGAAATACTTTGTTACTGTACTCAAGTAGAATTTTTGGGTATCTTACTTGAGTAATTATATCTTCAGTTCCAGACTGAGTCATTTCTACCTTCTCCTCTCTGTCAACGCTCTCTGGTTTCATTTAAAAGAGTCGATCATCAGATATTGTCCAAGATTAACCTTCAGGGTGGATATAGCTCGCTAGCAGCCTCGCACCGAGGACCTATCCACGTCGTCATTTACCCAGAATGCTTTGTGTGGAAATAAAATGGCTCCAACCGTGTTAAAACATATGTTTAAAATTTTACAAAACCAAACAGCCTACAATATTTTTACAGTCTTTATTTCACAGTTAAAATAAATGTTTATCAAATACAGTCTAATGTTACAACTAATCGGGGATCCCTTTAAAGTAAAATGTTCAAAATATACATCAAAATATGCAGCTCAATCAGAAATAGTCTATGTATTTTGGTAGAGGTATGTTGTACAAAATGTTGACAAACTGCACAAAAACTGCACAACAAACGATGATAGTCATGGGACTTTTGGTAAGACATGAGAAAACACTTCTTTATAAAACTCCATGTGTCAAAAGATCACAATAAACTGAATTTTAATTATTTATTTATAGGTTTACACATTTACAGTTTAGGTTTCATAATTTGAAATATCCTAGTTTGAATTATTTTAAAATGCATGAACTGCATTTAATAATTTTGGCAATTTGTCCATAATCTGGACCTGAATCACCTTCACTACTTTTCCTCCCAATTCATTAACAGGATATTATATAACTTTCATTTATATATGTAATCCTAAACTTTTAAAAACTTTAAAAAATGTTTGATAATGACATAGTTGCATTTATTGAGAACTTATCAATATACTTAAGTATAATGAAGCATTAAATCTGAACTGAGCCTTTCTGTGTATAATTAAATGAGTAAAACTTTGGAGGCGTATATACTGAAAAATAAATAAAGTTTCTCAGACTGAACTCTTCCATTAACACGGTTTTGACCTCTGAAGGTCGAAGCTTAATTTTCTGCCACCATGATGACTTTCCTGAGCTTTTCAGCAGAACAATTGCCAGCCTTTTAACAATATTGATTTGCCTCATTGTGGCTTTCTGAAAGCCAGTCCAAACACGCTTTACGACCCGTTCTCACCACCATGTTTACTTTTGTTATTCAGAGACTTTTATTTCATCCGTCAGGACTAACTGAGCTGAAGATATGAGGGGTTTTAAGTGTGCGATGAATAAACATGAGTTTGATTTCAGACCTGCCGTGGGGATTCACTAAAGCAAAAGTGGGTTGTTTGAATGCGATGCAGACATTTTGGAGAGGTTTTCTTTCATCATATTAAATTATACATTATGTGACGCAAATGATGTACAGCTTACTGTGCCTTGCATCAGTTATTTTTTTAGGTCTGTAGAGAAAGAAAAATTATTAGAAAACTTGTCCACATGAGAATTAGTTTTTATAAACAAACTTCTTTTTGTTGCTTCAAAAAATAACTTCATGAACAAAGCTTTGTTTTTAAATGTCCTGATGCATCTCAGTAATCCAGGTAAAAAATCAAAAAGAAAAAAATTGTATAGGTCTTCTGGACGGGTTCAAGCTTGATGTCCCAGTGGCTTTCAAACCCCAAAACACATTACGGCAAAGGCTGGTTCACCCCAAAGATCGGTGCCCCGGCACAAACAGAGCGATGTTGTATATGCTGTTAAGTGCCAGGAGGACTGCGACCAGTTATACATCGGGGAAACAAAGCAGCCACTGTTCAAAAGAATGTCCCAACACAGATGTGCTATGTCTAATGGCCAGAACTATGCAGTTTTCACTCATTTACAGGCCAGCGGTCACTCTTTCAG